TAATGCCAAGCTGATTCCAATATAATACCACTAATACCACGAATAATATGTAACACATTTGTTTCACGAATTAACCTGTAACAATACTGGTAGGTACGTGCACAGATTTTTTCCTAGGTAACTTAAAAGTCGTTAAAAAGTCTAATTATATTTAAAGAAGATATAATTCCAACAAATTACATTATAAGGCCAATAATGCACAAGTAATACCATTAAAATTTTAGCGTTTTTAACTTGTGTAACATATTTCTTTAACGAATTAACCTGTAACAATAGTGGTAGGTACGCGCACAGATTTTTTCGCTAGGTAACTTATTAAGTCGTTAAACAGGCCTATAAAAGCTATAACAACATAGGTAACTAATATTTATAATTTAATTCGAGTTTTAATCTCAAATAATAAATGTTTTTACTGGTGTATTTCTGAAGTGTTCATTATTAAAAGTAGATATTCTTCAAGTTATGCGAAGTAATAAGTAATGTTTCCGGTGAGACCGCGTATATGTCACCGGATTCTGGTTAGTATAAAGACTTTTTCTATAGAAAGAGTTTTTTCTATATTTTCCTTTCAAAATAAGACTAATTTCTTCTTATTCTTTTAAATATTACAGTGTTTCTTTTTCCTAAAATGTTATACTTAATTTTCGCTTAAAATTAAAAAATCACAAATGGAGGAAAATATACGTTATTGAATAAAGTTTATACAAATCACTTTACCATAACAAAAAAGTAAAAACATGTCATGGCGGAAGATATTCAGGTGGCATTTCACACATTTATCTATTAAAATCGAGATTAAAATAATAAACTTGCGTAACATGTTATACACGAGATAGAAAGTTTCAGAATCGATTAATACGCAATACGCTACGCAGTCAACTTATTCCTATGCGCGGATGAGCGTCTTCAAGACTCTTCCTTCGGCCAGGGTCACGACGCCGCCGAAGAGGAATCGGCCTACGTTTGGCTAAACAGGCTGGACACGGTGGAGTACGATATTGGCGAGTCTGAATATTTATAAAAATTTGCAAAGTAAAATATGTTGGAAAAATAATTAATCCATACATATATAAAAGCTCAAAGGGTTTTTTTGTTGCATCCATCCCGCCGAAACCGCTTTACCAATCTTGATGATTCTTTTTTTAAATGAAAGGTATATATGTGTAGATTTGTTATGAAGTATTTTTATAGTGCTTAATGGCTATTTCTTTGTGTAAAACGACTAAATACTAAAACATACCTGAAAAACACCTACACACAATACCTCCAGAAATAAATTATTTGTCATTGTCAGTGGTGTGTCAGTTAGATTATATATTACGTTTTTAGATATTTTAGAGTGAGTTCATGCCGCCAGCTTTAGATACATAAATATTAGCACAAAGGTTCGTTTAAACGACATTAGTGAATTAGCTACACAAAGCGATTTTAGGAAATTCATCCTCTTAGAGAGTAAAATTATCTCGGAACAGTTTGTTGTATGAAAATTCCTTACTATTTGGTCTAGAAGAATGAAATCCTACAAAAAGAATTAGAAGAAATTTTTGAAATTCATCAACCAAATGGGTAAAGTTAGTAAAAATTTATATAAAACTTGGTGACCTCTGGATTATACACACAAAAAATTGGCACAAAGGTAAAGCGAATTTATGAAATTTATACCCTTAGGGAGTAGAATAGGGAATGAAAGTTTGCTGTACGAAAATGCAATATTATAACATTATAAACCAGACAGTATTAAATTTTATACAAGGGTTTATTTAGTGACATCATAACGAAATATATCTTCCTCAATTATCCTTCAAAGAATAAAAAATAACCTATAAAGAGAGTATTAGTGCTCTTAATAAATAAAAAAATATGAAAAATAAAAAACATCTATATGCTCACTAGCTCTCTATAAAGAAGTAAAAAATCATTTAAATCAATGCATGAACGATTCGAGGTGTAACGCGAACGTAGTCGCGAGAACTTTTAATTTTCATTGAAAAGGAATTTTTGTAATTCGCCACTATATTAGTTAAAAACTAACAAACTCATATCAAATTTAAGTTTTGCGATTTTGACCTATACTTTTTACAAAATCTGAACACATTTTAAAAGAAAAAAAGTTTTTGATAATATTTGTGTAGATTGACTACAAGTTGTATAACATAAATTTCTACGACCGGTCTACCTAGTGGTCTGCAGCATCGCCTTGTGGTGCAAACGTGGGCCTGTTAATCTGTGACGTGACGCACAACAGCCAAGAAAAACAGAAGCGTGGTTAAGAATTTAGTAATTTAAAAAAAGTCTTTTAGATACAGTAGTAGGTATTAAAAAGTTTTGTGTTTAAATGGGGTTTGCCTTTAACAGTTAAAAAACTATATCGTAAAGTGTAACTTTCCGTAAGAATTCTTTATCTGTCATTGATCATGATCTGTCATCATGTTAACCTGATGTTTTGTATGTTATTTTTGTTTTTTCGAGGTTTTTTTGCTTGCTTGTTTTACGGATAGGTGCGATCGCATAATTATTATTGATAATGTTTTATTTAATGTTAACATTACTACTTTTTCAGTGAATCTTTAAATCTGTTGTTTTTTGTTAAGTTCGTTATTTAAACATATGTATGTAATACACTCATATTAACACTAATCATATTTTTACGTTTTTATTCATCATTTTCAATGCCCCCCCGGTTGCATCTTTGTAAAGGACTGTGAATTTTTTTTTAATTAAAGGTCTCTATGCCCAGATAAATAATCAAGCATTTTTATAGTGTTTAATCGCTATTTGTTTACGTAAAACGAATAAGTATTTAAAAATATATAAAGCGACATCTTCACCAACGCCATAGTGTTATGCAAATGCAAAAATCCATAATAAATCTGTAAGGTCGCAGTGATTAACCCCCCTCCCACTCATCCATTCTAATGATATGTCAGTTCAATTATAATGTCAAGCTTTTAATTATTATTGTTTTAGAGCTTATTTTATACAGGGTGTTTCAAAAAACATGTGCCATCTCTCGTGAGGAGATTCTTCACCTAAAAATAAGATTTATTTTTTATGTCAACATAGATCCGATTCTGCTTTGTTTGATAGCTACAGAAAGATAAAATTTTCATTTTCTTTCCATTGTTATAATTTTCTGCCAAGTGCTTTTAGTGATTCGAATGAAATTTTGGTGATAAAAAATATAATTTGTTAATTTTACTTTTATTTTAATTTTATTAATTGTCATTAATAAAATTGCGTTTATCTCATCAAGGAGACCGAATTCGACAAAATATCAAGAGATAACTTTTAATTAGCATTAAACGGCCTACACAATTTTGATATCGACAGGAAAAAGTCAGTGGCGCACATGTTTTTTCTTTGAAAAATATTCCAGTGATAACCCATATACACGTCCCTGATGAGTTTATCGACACTTTTTTAGCATTAAATATGTAGCACTTATAGTAACTTTTACCCTCAAAATTTCATTCGAAACTCTAAAAGTACTTGGAAGAAAATTATAATAAATCGAAAAAATAAGGAGATTTTAACACCCGCATCAAATTGCACTTTGCTTCGATTTAACCGACCTCGTATCTTTTCTATTTTCAGAAATCTCATTATTGAGTCTCGATTATGGGACACACTGTAAATAATACTTGCATGCAAAGAGGACATTTTTAATAGTCTCGTACTTAGCCAAAATAAAATATTTAAATCAAATACATCATCTAAATGTTTCTTAGTATGTACATTAATATATAATAAAATAATACGGTAGTGTAAAATACGATAAAATAATTTATATATATATTTTTTATACAATACGATGGATTAACCTCAAGATGGAATATATGAAAAACAATTAGTTAAAACTCGAGTTACACTGTCAACATGCTGACGTTGTACCGTAAGTTTGTCCATGCAATCCCGTTTGCAAACATTGTCCGAGCATATTAGGCTGAGAAAATTGAGTGTCAAATATTTAGTTTGCTCAAACTAGGCTTATGAGATAAAGCATCAGGTTGTAAACTATGTCCGGTATACAATAACGATTACTCAGTCAGTGTATCTTCAATCTGAATATAGGGAATTTAGGATCACCAACAATGTCTTTTTGGTTTCTACTTCTTTTCCGTGATGAAGTTTAGAAAAAACCTATCTAAAGATATAAATATACAGTTCGATACAATCACCCAATATATTATACTATAATATAATAAGGGCCATATAAAAGGTACATATTGTTTTTAAATAGGAATATATAGAACTTCTTACTACTAATTCCAAATATATTTTAGTGTATATTTTAATATTGTCAAAAAATTAATTATATTATTCAAGTTTTGGCGCTAGTGACAACAACCGACACAGATTCGAATTTTGTTAATTTATTGCCAACTATTTCAGTCATTTTTTTTTCAGGCATCGATCACCAGGATCATTAGCCATATACAACTCGTTATACAACTCGTTGTTGATCTCAATATCCTCAAGGGATTCAATCTTACAAGGGCAATTCATAATTCACAAAATCACACTGACACATACACTTCAAATTGAGTGACAAAAGGATAAAAAACCAAACACAAAAAAAATAGACAACAAAAAACAAACAATAAGAAAAATAGGTTAAAAAAAACTATCACAGTATCACAGTTGGATTTAAGTATCACAGACGAGTATCACAGTTGGTGGTATATATTAATATCTTTCCTAAATTTCAAAACATTTTTAGTTTTCTCTTCTTCAGCCAAATTATCACGAATTTCACCACGTATATCGAATCTATTTCTTTCTACCGTATGTTGAGTATGTTGTAATGTGAATTACTGTCAACTCAACATCACAGACTATACACATTGGGGGTATTTCTCTGTTAAGCAGATATGCATGAGTCACCGCAGTATGCCAAATGCGAAGACGATGCACTCTGGATTCATCCGCTCGTCCTAGTGCAAGACGTAAGGATGGGGTTGACGGAATCTGTTTTATTGCGCAAAGCTTTGAAGGTGTACCTGCCCACTCATCCTGCCATTCCCTTTCTGTTCTTTTATGCATTAGAGCTTTAAGATCATATTTACTAATATAATGGAAATCAATGGTATCTCTTCTAGCAGCTTGCTGAGCAGCTTCATCAGACATTGTGTTGCCAAGTATATTAGTGTGGCTTGGGACCCATATAAACGTGAGTTTGTTTCCTTTTTCGCTGCACTTTCGAATAAGCGTCTAAATTTTTTGTTTCAGAGGATCATGGACACATATGTCATTAATTTTAGACACAATCTCTAAAGAGTAAGAAACAATTAAAACTCTAGATTGGTTGTATTCCTCGATGACATAGGATAAGGCTTTTCCAGATCGCAAAATGTTCTGTGAAAAAAGCTGAGGCTTCATGTCTCAAAGTCCATTGGAAAGCTGACCCGTTGGTAATAATTGCACATCCAGCACCAGTTTGTGTTTTGGAGCCATCAGTATAAATAACAATTCTTTCGTCGTATTGGTCTAGTATTTTCTGGAACTTTTGTTGATATATTTCAGGCGATGTGTCTTGACGTTTTAGTTTATTCAGGTCTAATATTACTTCAGTTTCAGGTATTAACCATGGATGATTTTCGAAAGGGATTTCATTGATTATCATAGGCAGATGTTCTTCCATATGACGGGATAGCATTGTTTCTCTCACTATATGGCTAGGATTTGCTAATGCCGACGCGACGTGAGGTTGTGAGGTGATTGCGCTAGCTTCCTCCTTCTGTATTTAAGGGGCTCTATTCCCGCTTCAGCACATAGGCTAGTTGCGGGGCTTGTGTAAAAAGCTCCAAGAGCTTGCCTTAAACATGCATTTTGTACGCGGTCCAGGAGCTGTAAGGTTGATTTGCAACCAGTAGAGTATACCACCAAGCCATAATCTATCTTTGAACGAACCAAGGTTTTATAGAGCTGGGTAAGTATTTCCGTACTTGCCACCCATGTTGTATGGGAGAGACACTTAATAAGATTTAGAACCTTCTTGCACCGTAACACTAATCCATTTATATGTGATTTCCACGTAAGTTTTTCATCAAATATTAAGCCTAGAAATTTAGTTTCAGTTTTAAGTTCAAGAGGACAATTGTCCATGAAAAGCAGTGGACGATAGTGGGGCCGACGCAACTTGCAGAAATGCATCACATGGGTTTTTTGCTTGGATAATTTAAAACCATTAACACTAGCATTTTTTACAACTTGGTTTATGGCATCTTGTAGATATCTACTGCTTTCTCCAACAGTTTTGGTGGCACATGTTATAACAAGATCATCAACATATATACATTTTTTAACATTTTTATTCATTCCTTCGACTAGATTTGATTGCTATTAGAAACAGATTATTGCTGAGTGTTGATCCCTGGGGGACACCATTTTCCAATGCCTTTGTTGTAGAGAGAACACTACCCAGACGTACCTTAAAAGTCCTTCCAGTTAAAAATGATCTGATAAGTATTGGTAAGTTTCCACGAAAACCCCATTTGTGTATCTTACTCATAATTCCAAATCTCCAGGTCTCAAATGCCTTTTCTATGTCAAAGAATACAGTTGTTGAATGATTTCGTTCCCTAAATGATTTGACTACTTCATTTTCGAGAAAAATTAAATTATCTAACGTTGATTTTCCCTTTCTGAAACCTGCTTGGCAATTATCAATTAGCAATTCAGTCATTGTTCATCGCTCAGTAGTAGTATGTTAGCAATTAATAAGTTGTGCAGTCTAGCATAATGTACCCATAAATCTACAGTTAACTGTTAAAAAACAAAATTAACTTTTATTTATAAAAATTAGAACTTATATTTGAGGTCTCCTGTAAGCCCATTCTAGATTTACCAAAAACTAATAATACTCTGTTTTAAAAAATTCTCGTAGGTGTCTACCTTACCCGAGTATAAAAAATAAATATGTTGGAGTATGCCATATGCTTTGAAACAGAAAATTAAAAGAAAAATAAGTTAGAAATATTGTAATCATAATATTGTATTATCACACAAACTCAGCTTGTGTACAGGGTGTCCCATTTTAGTTGAAATCATACGGTATCTCCGTTATTCGTGAAGATAAAAGGGTGCGGTTTGCACACACCTGTGCCACTTTTTTGTCAAACGGAAGATGCCGTAAACAAAATTTTCATAGCCATCTTCATCTCTGAGCTACAGGGTCTTTTTGAAAATTTTTCAATTTGGCACACCCCCTGTCTCTCTGGTATTGTTAAAGATATCGAGATGGTGAAAACTGTTTATTGAAGAACTTTTTACGTAAAATACAGTGGCGTAGTCTGTTATTCTACGAAAATATTATTTTTGAAGATATGAACTATAGTTATGTTTTTTTTTTAAATGGAACACCCTGTATATTTATAAATTATATGATCTGGCTTGCCATATGCTTCTCAAAAATATATACCACTCTATATTTATTTTCACTATATAGTGTAATATTTAAAAAAATATATTCAAAGATCATATTTATTAGTAGGCCATGATTGATAATAAAAAAAATACAGAATTATTAAAAATATATATTATACTGCTATCTGTCTCGTGTTTTATTTTGAGGGCCACTAATAAGTTATTTATATATTAGGGAAACTTAACTCTTTACCGCTATTGGTAAATCTTGGAAGCTATCATATCGGAATTTTTAAATATCCCTTTAACTAATTTACGTGAAATATACTTTCAGTAAGATGGGGCTCATCCCCTTCACAACTTAACTTACAACGAAAATAATACTGGAATTTTGTGAAATTGTTATTTCTCAAATCAATAAATTAGAACCAATTGATCCATATGATAACCTCCCTGATTCCCGGATTTCTCTATTCTCGATTTCTGATTTTGGGGATTTTTGAAATATGAAATGTCTCGTGGCAACTAACACAATGTCGAACACCTGAAAAATGCTTTAATAACGCAAGCTAATTATGCAAGCTTTTAAATATTTGAAAATCTATCCGTTATAATAAATTCCGTTATAAAAAAAGAAAAATATATCAATTCCAAATAAAATTTTAATATGTGTATAACTATTTTAGTAAATACCATTTCGATTTTTTGTTATTTATCAAGGCCTACAAATAAGAAAATGATATATTTTAAATATTGCTGTAAATAATGAAAATAAATATAGATTCATATATATTTTTGAGAAGCGCATAGCAAGGCGGATCATATGATTTATAAATATTCAGGGTGTTCCATTTAAAAAACATAACTTTAGTTCAAATTTTCAAAAATATTTTATTCGTAGAGAAACAGACTACGCCACTGTATTCTACGTAAAAAGTTCTATAACAATCAGTTTTCACCTTCTCGATATCAGTCATAATAACGGAGATACGGGGGCTGTCACAAATTGCAAAATTTTCGAAAAGACCCTGTAGCTCAGAAACGAAGATGGCTATGAAAATTTTGTTGACAGCATCTTCCGTTTGACAAAGAAGTGGCACAGGTTTGTGCAAACCGCATCGTTCTATCTTTACTAATAATGGAAATACCCTATGATTTCAACCAATATGGGACACTCTGTACTTTATAATTAGTGATGGGATCACTCGAGCGAAATTTCGCTCGAGTACTCGATTATTGAAATAACCGTCATCGCTCGATTATGAACGAGCGATGCAAGTGACGAGTACCAAGCGACGAAAGCAAGCGATCCTAGAATGAAATAAATTGAAATCCGATTTTAATGTGACATACTCGATAAAAAACCGAGCGAATTTTCTACATACATTGCAGGTAGCAAATTTATACGACGCCGTAGGTATATATATTTATCCGTTGCATATCTGAGAGACAAAATTTTACGACCTACATCGACAATGCTTTGAAATAAACTAAAACAAGCGAATCTCTCGCCGCTTGTTACTTGCCATTCATCACCGAAAGAATATGTGCCCTGCGCACGCAACTTACTGCTTGCCGCTTGGCGTTAACGAGTACTTACAACAAGCGACGTGTAAAAACGTATTTTTAAATACGAGTGATATTTCGCTCGAGCGATCACTCGGTTATTGCAATCGCTTGAAACTCGAGGACTCGATTATTGAAATTAATCGATTTTTTCCATCACTATTTATAATTATCATAGGTAAACATTTTGAAATAGAAAACTTACAAACATTACAAGTCAATTAAAAATTGTTAAAAATAATTCCATTTTCACTAGAAGATCTTCACACACATGTTCTTTTTTCTAGTCGAGTTCGTAAAGGATAAACAAGAACAACAAATTGCACTGCAATAAATAAGTCTAGATAGGGCAAAGCCTCCTCGGATATATAAACTTTTTCTTCGTTTCTTACGTCGGACATAGAGTGATTTAGTAATACTGGAGGTGTAATCGAAAAATATATCTAGACACTTCAAGATTTCCTATTTCTTTTGTCTGTATAAATCCGTCTGGACAAATAAAGAAGAAAAGTTAATCGTAGATTTAAGAGTTATGATTAGGCCATTGAATGAAATGATTAAAATAATGAGCTAATTAAATAGTATTTTTTTATTCATATATTAAAAATCGACATGTCATAATAGCCTTTTTAATACGCTTTTATTTTTATTTACAAAAGTTAGTTAAACAAACTTTTGTAAAAATCATTAGATGGCTTTCATAAAAAATTATTGTTGAAAAACCTATATGTAATATAATATTAGGAATATCAGCAAAACCCTTAATTTTAAAATACTTTAAATACAAAAAATTTTCATTTTTTAATTATCCACCTAACAAAGGAATAACATACAGGGTGTTTGGTTTAAAATAACGGAGAAAAACTGTTTTATGTTAAGACATGCGTCGAATTAATCATTTGTAATGGTGATGATAAAGTAAAGCAAGAATTTCCATTAACATACAAACTGGATAAAATTTTCTCACATTTTATATCAGCATGAGAAAAAAACAATATGGCGATATTATTATATCGCCGGTAGTTTCATCTCGTTGGAATTTGACTTTCGAAAAATCCGTTTGCCAAAAATAAGCTTTTTACGTCAAACAGTTTAAGCAGAATCGTGGTTAATCAATTACCCAACCTATTGGAACACCCTGTATGATTTTTTAATAAATTTCAAAATATGTAAAAAAACAAAATCAATTATGCGTG